AGATATAGATATAGATATAGATATAGATATATATATAGATATAGATATAGATATAGATATAGATATAGATATAGATATATATATATATAATTGGCTGCTGATTAACCTCACGACGTGGAGAGGCTCGTGTCAACAGCCGACATGCCAGCAAGAGCTACCGGGAAACATTCCGTCAAGTACAGCCAAACTCTGCTCTGTTGTAGAGTATACAGTTCACAGCAGAATTCTGGCATACTTTCGGCACCTTACAGCCGTCTAACTATCCCTCAGTGACTTAGATATCTTCAAACGTAAACCCGGAACGGCCCCATCGCAAAAGTGAAAGACGCCAGGATGTGTGGCCTTCTGCAAACCAGGAAGTGCCACCTGCCCCAGTCGTGGCAATTCCGCAGGGGACGTGTCTTGAAACTTTGGTGTCTTCTGCCAGTTCTCTGCTCTTTTCCCGACTGGACGTCCATTAAGCGCTTCGAAAGTTGTGGGTCTTTGGTGTCTTGTAGTTGTGCTTATCTATGCTGATGATATGTACTTATGTGCATTTTGACCGATTGCTTGATTGCTTGCGTGCTTGCTTGATTGCTTGTTTGCTTGATTGATTGGTTGTGGAGAAACGGATGGATTCATGGATTGACTGATTGATTCATTGGTTGCTTCATGGATGGATTGACCGAGTGATGGCTGCGATTCTTCTGAGCTTCATTGATGGCCAGTAGTCATGTACGACTACTGATAACAACAACAGTAACAATACATGCAGCAGTAGTAAAAGTACAGCAGGTAGAATAGAACACACTACTACTCACTATGAAATACTATCAGTACGGTACCCTTCGAAAAAAACCCTGACAAGCCGCCCTTGGACCTTGTGAGCTTCGCCGAGAACATGCTGAAGACGCTCCGGGTCCCGGGACAGCATCGCTTCGCCAACCTGTCCCAAGAAACACACAGAAATCTTGACCCTACAACCCTAAACGCTAAACTCCGCTAAACCCCAAACACCCTCATCCCCACCCATCCTTTTTGGGGGCTCCTTAGTTCCTTGGGGAGTGAGCGGCTTCAGGCTTCAGAGGTCCGATGCAAAATGACAGCATGAAAGGAGGTCACGCATAGAAAGGTGCATGGAATGATAGCAACGCAGCAAAAAAGAGTGACATGCACGGGGGTGCGTCTTCAATCGCTGCTCCTGACCGCCTCTGAGACTGATTGCTGCTTACAGCTCCGCCAGCAATGCTCAGCTAGATCTCCTGCTTCGCATCGTGACAGTGGCCGTGGTGGCAAGCGACTGATGAGCATGGAGGCTGAAATGGGCTGTGTTCCGGAACAAATCGACTTTTCGGGCTGCGCAGAAGCTGGGCGATCCTCGTCAGGGTACGTTTCCGAACATTTTCTGAGCACGTCAAGTCTGTGAGGACTGCCTTCTGCAAGTGCGAATGTGTCGTGTGCAGCTTGGTGAGAAAGGCCTCAATGCTCAGCAGCGGCATGTCTTTCTTCGATTGGCATTGCTCACGAACGACCTGATCAACCATGCGGAAGTCTGCAACACCGTCCTTGCCGAGGAGTTGCGCAGACGCGCCCAGGCTGCCACTGAGTGCTAGATGGCAACGAGGCTCGCTTCGTTGCGCAGCCACGAAGGCGGGGTAGGCAAAAACACGTCCAAGTTCGGCTGCACCTTCAGGGACGTGGCACGGTGGTCGACATCGATGGTGATCGGTGCTTGCAACGAAGCCACTCGTTCCGTGGTCGGTCCACTGCCGAACCATTCTTCTGCGATTCTGCAGCAACGCCAAGTGATCCGGTGGAGGCTAAGACGTCATCTTTGGAATGTTGGGAGTCGTGCCGCCTGGCAACTGCGCTTGGGATTCTGGTCGTGTCTTCGAAAGAGCATCGTTGAAGATGCAGGCTCAACAGGCTCTGATTTGCTGAGCATCTCTTCCACGAATTTCGTGAACCACCACCACGATGCTGCTTTCTCACTTAGCAGCAAATCTCGGGAGATTTCTCGGCACCTCCATCAAGCTCGGGTAGAAAACTGCTCGCTGAGATCCACTAGACGGCCTCGGCTCATGAGGACGACCTGCATGTCGTCATCTTCAACATTGCCGCACATGTTCCTGCGAACTTCTCCCAGCTACATATAGCAGTTCACCATCACCTCGGCAAGGACATCAGACTGTACCTCAGCGCGGCCGAGTGCCGACGTTTTTCAAGGTGTATCGATGTTTCAATCCCGACCAAATCGGATGAGAGTACCCCTCCGACGGTTCGCCCGGGAGGGAGGCTCCTCCCACCCATCGGTGGAGATCACCCAATGGGTATCTGAGAGCCCCAGCCTGGCCATGGGGTTCAAGGGGCCATGTCGCCAAAGAGGACCCAGATCCTGCTGCTCCGATCAAAGGACAGCCCACCTCGTCAACGCCGGGACAGCCGGGAACGAAGTGCGCCTGAAACAACAGCCGCATTGCTTACACTCGTGGAAATCTGGGTCTGCACAACTTTCTCTGCGATCTGTGCCACTGTCGCCATTGTCGTCGAACCACCCAGAGGGCGCTTCATGGCGAGGAGGTTCGAGAGCGTCCGGGTCACACTCCCAAACTCCAGTTGCCATTCCCTGAGGTTCTCTGACGTCGCAAGTGGCTGCAACGGCCTCTTGCTAAAGCGGAGGGCCCAGATTGCAAGCAGGTTCAGTGCATTAGCAGATCCGCTTAAAGCGTTAGGATCGTATCAGCGCAAGGCACTGAAAACCCTAGCCGTGGCCTACACTATGCGACTATGCGACTCGGTCATTGCAATTAAGTCATTAAGGAACCAGCTTGTCTTGGAATGCTCCTGGAGCCTTCAGCGCTCTCCATACGGCAAGCAAGCTGGTGAATTGAGGGCTCGGGGTTGTTAGATTTTGCAGGGGCCGGGGATCCACCACGTGAAGCAATGAAGAGAACTGCTCCGCCTTCGTTTGAACAGCCTGCAAGGTCTCGAGGAGCTCGGTGGCCTCTGAAGTACGGGTGCGCAGAGATTAGCAGCCGCGACAGCATCTCCCCTGTGCTCCGCCCCAAGACACGCCCAGGCCCAGTAAACCCAGGAAGCCGCCTCCGAAACCAAGGTCTTGTCGTCAAACTCAATGTCGCGAACATCCTGCCCGTGGCGCACCCCCCTCGCTAAACCCTAAACCCAAAACCCCAAACCCCTCGATGGAAGAACTAGGATAAAGGGAGGTGTGCCGCGGGTGAACTGCATCCTGGCCCCGGCAGGTCCTGGCCTTCGCTTCCGTGCTTGAACCCTTGAGAGCCCACCTGGAAATTTAGAACTCGAACTCAGAATATAAGGATAATCCCAGTTAGGCTACCTTCATCACGGAGCCCCAAAAGGCCCCAAAAAACCCCTATAAACCCCAAATAAGGTGAGCCCTTTTCCTTTTCTGGCGCCTTGAGAACTTTCATCAGGTCCTCCGGCACCCTCCGCTCCATGGCCTGCTCAGTCAATCTGGGGCGTACCGAGTTTCGGGCCCGAGTCCGCCGAAGCGTGGCCCATGCGTAGGGATTCTTAGAGTTACATACATACATACATACATACATACATACATACATAGACTCGCAAAATGTGTGTGTGTGTATTATATGTAAGAAATGGTGTATGAGCTTTTTTATGTACATATCGTCACGGACAGAAACCCAGGAGCCACGGTGCTCCCTGCCTGCTCAAGAGCTCTCTGCGCGTTGTCTGCTCCCTGCTGTCGGGCAATGGAGCTGGTCACCACTTCCTGTGCGCGGCTTTCGGGTTTAGGGGATTTTAGGGGTTTAGGGGATTTGGGGGGATTTTTGGGGATTTTAGGAGATTGTTGGTGGATTTTAGGGGTTTAGGGGGAGTTTTGGGGGATTTTAAGGGTTTAAGGTTTTCCTTTACGGGCAAGATGGACCGGTCTGGAGCTTCGGCAGCTTCGGGCTCAAGGACTCTACGGGATGTCAGGACAGTGCTGGAAAATTTTAATAGCAAAATAACATACTACAATACAATATACTAGAATACAGTATACTATACTTAAGGGCATCAGATTGGCCCAGGCATGGGGGCTAAGTGCCCGCAACGCCATGAGACTGCGACGCGGATCCATGATCCGGTTGCACTACGGAAGCCTCCTTGAAAACCCAAGTCTACACCCTACCGTACACCCTAAACGGCCCTAAACCCTAAACCCTACACTGCCCTACACCGATCCGAGCAGGGCCCCAAAAATGGACGCGCCGGTTCCTGGCTCCAGGTGGACCACCCACCGAGGTTCCGGGCCCTGTCAAACTCCGAAAGCTTCGCTCAGCTCGGGAGACTCTGGGGCTTCGCAGTTAAATTGATTTATGATATCATAATGGGTTAATTACTTCTGATATCATAATGGGTTAGTTACTTCTGATATCATAATGGGTTAGTTACTTCTGATATCAGAATGGGGCTAGATCAGCTTAGGTTAGATGTTGTGAGGTCACTATCATGTTTACGATAGAAAAATGTGTAGTTCAGAGCGACAATGAAGGGTCTTCGGGGTCGCAGGCACTTTGCTAATCTTTTCTGTTGCAGATGCAGGGTTTAGGGTTCAGGGGTTTAGGGTTTAGGGAAGACAGCTTGCCTTTGGGAGGTTAGCTCGTTCGCCCAGACACAACCGCAGCATGTTAGCAGCCATGTGGGCATGGTTGCAAGTCCAAGCGCCTACCTAGAAGCTTCGGTCCACGCGACAAGGCCCTACTCCAAGTCGAGCTCGCATCCCAAAGCCAATGAGCGCCACCGAAGCTTTACCAGATGCCCTGCATCCCAAAAAAAAACCACAGCTGCGGGGGATTTGGGGAGCTTTGTCTTAGGCTCGCTCTGTCGAGCTATCCCTTGTATTCTGATAGGGCTCTGATAGGGGCTGAGACTTTGGAGACTTGCCCTGACGTGCCTCATCTTCAGGAAATGCTCTGCATCGCTGCTGCTGGAGTCCGGCATCTCCTTGAACTGCAAGGGCCTCAAAGGTCGATGCGGAAGCACGCCCTAAACCCCGAAACCCCTAAACCCCTAAACCCCGAAACCCCGAAACCCCTAAACCTCTAACCTTTAAACCCCCAAACAACCCTAAACCCCCAAACCCCCAAACAACCCTAAACCCCCAAACAACCCTAAACCCCCAAACAACCCTACACCCTGGCTCTCACTGCAGCTCCGAAGAATCTGGGGGCCCAGGCAACTCTGGGAGGCCCTCAGCCAGCCGGCGGAGCTTCTCCTCTCGCCCGCCCCCAAGAGATCGATCTTTAGGGTTTAGGGGGTTAAGGTTTAGGGTTTTGGGGGTGTAGGGGGTTAGTGGTTAGGGTTTAGGGTTTTGGGGTTGTTTGGGGCTTAGGGTTGTTTGGGCGTTTAGGGTTGTTTGGGGCTTTAGGGTTGTTTGGGGTTTAGGGTTTGGGGTTCAGGGTTGTTTGGGGTTTAGGGTTTAGGGTTTTAGGGTTGTTTGGGGTTTAGGGTTTAGGGGCATCGCTTCAGGGTTGCAAGGTTACGAGCCTCCTCCAGCAGGAAGGACTTCTCCTCCCCGCCCTCCAGCTTCACCAGCACCTCCTTGGCAGAGGCATACAGGGCATGAGGGTGCAAAGGGAAGAGGCGCAAGCTTCACGGGCTAAGGCCTGTTTTCCTGTCAGCTCGCCATCACGCTCACTGGTAAGTGCGACGTCGGGGATCAGCTGAAAAGCGCTTGCGCCGTGGTTCTTCCTTTGGCAGCCTGTGGGTAGCCACCTAGGGCACCAAGTTTGCCTGAAAGGCCGAACGGACTAAGAGGGGCCGGCGCTGCGCTGCTTTCGCGCTAAGAACCGGGGAGGGCACGAAGTTTAGCGGGAGCTCAGCAGCAGGCAGCAGCAGGATCGTAGTCGTCGTCGTCGTCATCCTCGTCCAGCTTTCGGCAAACGGACACCATGAAGTCCAGGTTGGGCTCCCAGCTGGTCCCGGATCAACAAGTTGTTCGTCGCTGGTCCGTGTGCTTCGGAAAAACAGCGAAGGCCAAGGGCCTACACCCAAAGTGGCTGTGCCGGTCCGTCAAAGCTTCCTCGAGCGAGACAGCTGCCCGCTCCTCGAGTCCCTCAAAGCTGCGATGGGAGCTTCACCGTCGTCCGGCTTGGCAGTATGACCCAGCGTCCTCTCTGCGAAAGTGGGCGGTAATTATGATCTGCCCACTGTGTCGGGCCGTTCAACCACATCTGGCAGAACTTGCAGTAGATCGCTGCGTCATGCTCCGTCTCGCCAAATCGCTGTTCTACTGGGTCGAAGTCCAGCTGCTCGGACGGGGCAGATCCCTCCACCTGTGAAATGCTGTCCCGGTCTGGCTGCATGTCCTCCGGCGGGTCTTCGTCGATGCTTTTTTCCTACGTCCTCTTTCCAAAGCCTTCTGGCGGTGCGGGGATCTTCTCCGAAACTGGAAAATCCGTGAACTTGCCGGAATACGTTTCTACCTGCTGTCTGCGCACAGCTTTTCGATGCGTTTTTCCAATCTCGTGATCTGCCCACTGTGCTGGGCCATTCAACCACATCTGGCAATGCTTGCAGTAGATGGCCCCATCATGCTCAGTAGGTTTGCTTTTGTCCATGTCGGATTGTTGGGCATCCTCTTGGATGCTCTCCGACTTTTGGTCCATCTCGCTTCCTTCAGAGCTGCCCGCTTCCTTTTCAAGGCCGAGATGGATCAGCAAGCTTCGAGGGGTGGAACCGATCACCTCACGAGAGCTGGATGCAAAGCCATTGAACTGAGGCAGCGTGGAAGACGAGAAGCTAGGCGAAAGTCCCTGAAATTCGGAGGCAGCTACGGTGCGCACTTCTGGGACCTCCACAATCTTGTCGCCGTACTGGATGTGGGGGACCTCCACCTGCTTCTCCACATATTGCACCTGGACCTGCAGCACGTGCCGGAACTTCTTTTGGTCTCGACCTTGGGCACATGCC